CTATTTTTACAGATATACATACATTAAAGGGTTAGTTCACCCAAAAATGAAAATTAAGTCATTAATTACTCACCCCCATGCTGTACCAACCCCGTAAGACCTTCGTTCATCTTCGGAACACAAATGAAGATATTTTTGATTAAATTTGAGAGCTGTAGCACTACCACATAGACTTTTAAGGGACTGCATCTTGACAGCCCAGAAAGTCAATGATGAAAATGTTTAAATATTCCATGTGACTACAGTGGCTCAACTATAAGTTTATCAAGCGACGAGAATACTTTTTGTGCGAAAAAACAAACAAAAATAACGACTTTATTCGACTATTACTTTTCTTCCTTGTTGGCCTGCACGAGACTTGGAAGAGATTTCCACGACGCATGCGCGAGAATTGCGATCTCCTTCAACTACTTCAGTTCAGTTCTCGCTTATGCGTCGTGGAAATCTCTTCAAAGTCAAAAGCCTATGTGGTAGTGCTACAGCTCTCAAATTTAATAAAAAATATCTTCATTTGTGTTCCGAAGATGAACGAAGGTCTTACGGGGTTGATACAGCATGGGGGTGATTAATTAATGACTTAATTTTCATTTTTGGGTGAACTAACCCTTTAAATGTTGTCAATGGTAAATGGACTGAACTTATATAGTGCTTTGTCTTTATTGGTGTAGTTGTCCAATTTACTGGAGAGCACCTACCCGAAAATGACAAGTCTTGAAGGAGGATGGCTTCTATATAAAGCAGCTGGTATGTTAAACAATACATTAGATTAAATGTAGAATCTGTAGTTTTTCCGTTTCTGTTTGTAAACAGTTTAATATTACTTGGTGGTTTGGTGGTTAGCACTGGGGCCTCACAGCAAGAAGGTCGCTGGTTTGAGCCTCGGCTTGGAAGAGGGTTTGAACAGTGGCCTTTTGGTGTGGAGTTTTCATGTTCTCTCCGTGAATGCCCGGGTTCTCTCCAGGTACTCCAGCTTCCGCCTACCATCAAAAGAGTTAAACAGGTTCCCTTGAAAAAGAGACTGTGTCTCAATGGGACTTACTTGTATACATAAAGGTTAAATAAATACTATTTAAACTGAGTGTCCCTCCCCTTTGGCTAATGTGACCCTGGTTTTCGAGCAAGCACTATCCACACCCCTTTTTGCTGCCTATTTTTTTTTTTTTTCTTTATCGACGCAAAGTAAGGTAAGCCTACTTCCTTTTATTTGCTGCGTCTGCCTTTTTTTGGGGGGGTTGGGGTGGAGGAATTATAGTGAATCTGGTGTCTGCTCCAATCAATGAGTTTATGCCCAAAGATCGCTACACCTTTAGCTCTGACATTGGCAAATAAACAAATCTCCACGCAGAAATGTCCCAAACACACCAAAACAAAAAGAAAAGACGAATCACAGTCAGGGAGTTGCAGACTGACTCAAGCGCTTATTTTCAGGGGGAAAACTCCGGATTCTACCTTTTAACATAATGCTATTTGAATGGATTTTGTCCACAATTTCATAATCATTAAGGTGATAATACTTTTCCTCATGTCAACATTTTTCACATACAAGTATGCCATGAATTAGTCAATTTACTCTGGCTAGCTCAGCACACTGATGTTGATATACCTTGTATGCAGGCACTACTTTTAATCCCCTTAAAACTTGAATTTGCAGGTGGGCATGGAAGGAGGAGAATGACCGCTGTCGCCTTAGAGTCAGAGGGATACACTGGCTCTGTTCTCAGAAGCGCCTCTGCAGGAGGGAAATTTATGTTATATATTGCTCCTCTCCAAGAAAAGATTGATATGACACCACTGCCAATGAATGCTCCAGAGTTCAGTCTCATGCCAAAGGCGACATGCACACAGTGCAAAATGGTCATGCCTTTGCAAATGCTAGCCCTGCATGTGCAAGGTGATTGTGAAGGGACATCTCAGACAACTCTTTGTGATTCAGAGGTGAGATGCCTGTCTTGTCAGATTTTTCCACTTAATGCAAGTTAAAGATGGATGTTGCCACCATGCCTCCAAACGAACTGTTTTCAAAACTATCCCTGAATATTCCTGAAAAATTGTGTCATTAATCCAGAAGTGAATCAAAACTATCCCAAAATCCATGTGGTGTTTATTTTTTCTCCAATTGTTATCATCTGTATCTGTTATTGGCATACAATAAATCATGATGACAAAATGAATTTAGTCATAATAAATTTTAAAAATTTATTTGAAAGATGAATTTAAATATTAGAAATACATAGATCAAATATGATTGCCTGATACCCATATCTATAAGAAAACCTGGCTTAAAAAAGTTTATGTTGCAAATTGGCAACTCTTGGTTTGTATTGAATAATAAATGACTGACAACTGCCAATCAGGTTATCTGACACATTGTATGGCTGCATTTTCAGCAAGAAGATGAGGAGCTTGATTCTCCCATTCCTGTGAATGTAGTGCCATCTTCAAACAAGGTGTGGTTCTTTGTAGGACAGAATAATGTTTATTGCGATAATGTTTTATATTTTTATTACTCCTGATTTTGAGTGAAACCATAAATGAGCATTTACCATTAATGATGAGGGGGTTTGCTATCAAAACGTGAACTAATTATGTCTGTACATCTTCCTATTTAGCCAAATAAGATAATATGCCCGATATGTAACAAATACTACCCAATCCATAACATTGAGTTCCACGCTAGTATCTGTGGAGAAAGGTAAGTCAAGTCACTTAATAACATCAAATATTTTGATTGGCTGTGATAAGTTGGAATTCATTGTAACTTTCATTAGTTATAGTCCTGTAAGGAGCCCAGATGATGGACCTGAAAGTCCCCATGATCTGCAAGAGCCAACACAAAATCCAATAGATGACATCTCATGGTACAAAAAAAAAGGGATCTTGAAAGTTTGATTTATCTGCCAAAATATATTTAGATTTTTAAGATGCAAAAATTTATTTTAACAGTGAAGAAGATGTTCTGCGTTGGGTTGACTCAAAAGTTGAGAGGGGGAAGACCTTCAACATTTGTGTCTCGAGGGACAACATGCTAGAGAGAGGTCTAAAGCTTTGGCAGCGGCAGAAGACTGGAGGCCCAGTAAACGAATTAAAAATCACCTTCATAGGAGAAGCTGGCATCGACACCGGGGCATTAAGAAAGGAGTTCCTGTCTGGTAAGTAGTAAGCCACTTACAAGGGTGTAATACTTGGAAATCAACAATGAAAACCCAGTGACTGAGGTTGTTCTCTGGTTTATGTCCACAGAGATGGTTGCTGGGATAGAGATGCGACTCTTTGAAGGAGGGGAGAAGGGGAAGATCCCAAAATACTCAATCACTGACCTGGACAAAAACTATTTCAAGTTTGTCACTTTTATTTATTTTCTCATATTAACGGTATTACTTATTTACATGTGTTTACACAATGGTGTATACTATAATGGTGTACTATGTATACTATTGTGTGTCCAACTACTCACTGGGATCCAAAGTGATGTAAACTGAGAGTTCCTACAACACAAGCAAAACTTTTGTAGTATATTCTATTCTTGGTAACTTGATATCTCAGGACAAACAGCTTGACAGAATTTCATTAAATGTGGCCAGAAGCTCCTGTTGGACTCTGAACTAAGATTTTTGAATTTAAAGGTTAAGGTCCATGTAATCTCACAAGGTGGTTTTAGTCTGAGCAATGTGATCTTTGAGATGTCTTGATAATTTAATCACAATTAGCTTAAATATCCGCTTTCATATTTAAAATATATTCCCTCAGTCTTCACTACATGGGGTAAACAGAGGATGTTGGCCTGGATGGCAAACTGTTACTTGAGGAATATTATACTCACATGGCAGCATTTTCAACAAAAACCTTTCTCTTGGAAACATATTGATGGGAATGGCCAGAATGAAAAAAGTAGGTCGATTCATAATTTTGGCATAACATTACATTTTTATTTCCCCCTCTTATGTACAGAGTTACTGGGGAAGTATTTGCAGTGAGCCTAGGCCAAGGTGGGCCGCCTCCACGCTTTCTTCAAGAGTGGTGTTACCAGTATTTGGTGACTGGGACACTGAAGGACATCACAAAAGAAAACGTGTATGATGCAGAGTTGTCCACATTAATCGAAAAGGTGTGTTTAAGTCTCAAGCACATATCCTTTCTATTATGAAAGTGTTGTGTGAAAAATATATATTTTTTAAATTATGTTTGTAAAATATGCTTTTAGATTGAAAATGCAACTGATGTGACACAGTACACAGAGGAAATCCTCAACTGTGGATACACTGGCCCCATCACATTGGAGCATCAAGACAGTATTGTAAGGTATATGCATTGTTTTTCCATAGCTCACCAAATGTATCATGGATTTTTACCAAGGTGTAGCGAACAAGCTTGGGTCTACAGATGAAGAGTTAAGGTCACTGGGCCTCATTCACAAATCGTGCTACACACAAATCTGTGCTTAAACATTGCGTACAAACTTTTGAAGCCAAACACTGGGAGTCAGTAATGTTTTCAAAAAATTCTGCTGTAAAATAAGCACTCAATGTCCAATGTCTATCTTGTTTTTGTTAGAGCTGTTTTGCTACATGCCACCACGAAGCGTACACCAATGCTTCAACAACTGCGAGTAGGCCTTGAACTCTACCAACTGCTGTCAGTTATGCAAAGGAAACCCAAGGAATGTCGGGATCTTTTTGTGATTGGGGATGATGACAAGGTAAAATACACAAGACGGGTGCTCATAAAGCAAAGACGTATGCCACATGAATGCTTTTCAGACTATGTCTTGCTCACGAGCCTAAGGTAAGGGAACTTTATTTAAATAGCAAAGTTAAAGCACAAAGTGCAATGGAGTAGCGGGGGTCGCTGTTGCCTATCTCCAGCATTCACTGGGCGAGAGGCGGGGTACACCCTGGACAGGTCGCCAGTCTGTCGTAGGGCAGAATAGAAACATGAAAGTCCAAAACCTGTAGGTCTCACACCCCTCGCTTTGAGCTGGCTTTCTGTGTTGCCTTGTCCCCCTCCTTTGACAATTAATGGAGTGGGCTTTTTTTTTTAGATTTTTATTGGCCTTCTGACCTATGATAACTCTACTGTTGAGTTTAAAGTGGTTCATTATTTCATCACCCCACTATTTTACTCGTGATCTAACGACAAATGATAGCTAACGACTTGTGACATTTTAGGATTAGATTCCAATTTAAATAGCACATCTCATACTGGTTTCTGTGCTAAATATATTTTGTTTTGGATATGCTTTTGTCTGTCTTTACTTATAAGATGCAATCCAAATGAACCAGCCCAATGTACTTTATTGTTTCAGGTTGATTCACATTACATCATCTCCAGCCTGGCTCCAGTGATGAGTGATACTGGATCGCTAAAACACAAGACAGAGGCACAGATACTGGAGTTCTTTCAAGATTTCCTTCTCGCCCTGGAGGGTATGTATTGGCAGTATATTTTTACATGTAAATAGCAGAGGTACTCTGTCTGCAGCAGCTGATTTGAAAGGATAGGTTGAATTTTTTTGACATAAATCTGTATGACTTCCTCACCAGCAGCATTAGTGCATCAACAGTGACCTGGCCCCAACTTTGTCCTGTTAGCTTAGATTTGTCTAATTTTCATTGTTAAAAAATAGCTCCCAGCTAGTGTCCAGCATGGATGGAGGTCTCCAGGCAGTTTTTTGCCGGCCTCTCCCTCGGAATGTGATGTCTCTGTCTTGGGCTCAGTCTCGTACTGGTGGGGTTTCAAAAACGTTTTGGTTTTTGTCAAGATCAGTCGAGATCCTGCTTATTTTTTGAAATACTAAATCCCTTTGATCAGTGCCACAAATGTACATCAAAAAAGGAATTTCATCATCAGTGGTTTCGTAGTCAGACATGTTACATTGGCTTGACCCACAAAAAAAAGTGCAACAGCTGACAGGCGGCAGCGCCTCGTGATATGAAATCATACTTCATGTCAACTTCATGTCAAAAAAACAGAACCAACCCTTTAAGGTCAAGTGCAAGTAAAACACATACTGGGAGTAGGGATGGCGAAAACTAAAAATGTTCTTGACCGACCACCGAGCCTCATTAGCCGGTTAAAACCGGTTAACCGATTGGTTTAAAATATGCGCACACACACATACACACAGCCCCAGCGCCGTCACTTTTTAAAATCCCAATACAGCGCGAAACACGAGTCCAGGGGGTCGCACACCGGACGAGAAGCTCAGCGCCACATCTTTAACACATTATTCTCTAGAAGTGTACACACACCGAACGAGATTCGGCATCTGTCCGCGGCGCCCAGCAACGGCTCAGGACCGTGTTCAAAATCCTGCTGCGCCACAGATCGCCATTTACATAGTTTTATATAAAATTTAAATTATTTTTGTCTCAAATCGTTGCTAATGTATCCTGACTGCGCCCTATGCTGCAATATACATGTAGTTTTGCATTCATTTACAGAAATCAGCTGCTTGAATGACAATCGCTGATGTTATTGGATTTTCAGCTGAGATTCTCAATTCATGCAGTTAACGGATGCTCTGAGGTAAAGTTTTCAGACTGCAGACTCAGCAACGATTGTATTTAATTGACAGTACAATCATAACATAGAACAGACATTATCTTCATTTCATGTCATTAAACAAAACAACATTGCTGGCCATATACTGATGAGAAAGTGCGCGTCCGGTGTGGGATACCTGTTGTCCTACGTGGCGCGGCGCAGCGCTTCTCATCCGGTCACTCCGGTGTGCGCGACCCCCCACAAACGCGGCGCCAAGGCGCTTGTATGTAATCGGAGGCTCCTTTTTAGTTTCGAAATGGTTTGGGTACAATGTGATCGCGTTGAAAATAAAGGCGTTAGAAGCTCATTTGAAACATTGCCGTGGCTCAGTTAAGAAAATGACAGCTCCGAGGAGACGCCGCTTTAGTTTGAGGTAACGTTAACGTTAGTGCTAACAATAATAAAGAAAGATGATGATCATTGATCACTCTATCTGTTACCACTGAAATGTAAATGTAATGTATTTCCAAATCTAAGCCCAGCAACTTATATCTGTGTCATTCTTTTAGGTGAAATGGTCCTACACACTATTTTCTTTGCACGCTTCATCCTGTCGTCTGCCCTCGTTCTAACCTCGAGTGTTTTCGCAAATATTATGAGCACGCGAACCCAAACGCTGTGACCTCGCGTCAAATGTTTTTTGTTTGTTTGTTTTTTTACCGACTACTGACAACTTTGATCGGTTAACGTTGATACGGTCAACCATCGGTCAAACGGTCATCGGTTAACATCCCTAACTGGGAGTGTCACTATCATATAGGTATGTGCTTCTACCAGTGCAGCTCCCCTCGCTTTTGGTAATTTCTCTGATGGATAACATTGATGCAGCTCAGTTGTTTTGAATGAAAAATGAAGTGAATTTTGAATTTTTTCACAATTTTCTTGCATTTGACTATGTATATCTAAAGATGGGGATGCCAGTCAGCCTGAGGAAGAAGACAATGGATCACCTCTCTCTGTTCCTCGAGTGATGCAATGGCTGACGGGGCAGGCTCACAGACACCTGCTGGTTTCAGAAAGGCAGAATTTTAAAATTAAAGTTCTTTTTGATCACAGTTGTCTTGAACGCATGCCAAAGCACACAGTGTGCTACCCTGTTGTGAGTGCATGCAGCACCACAATAACATTTCCCACAGTCCATCTGAAAGACAGCGAAGCATTTAACTCCAACCTTGAAATTGCAATTCGATATGGTTCCAGGTTTGATAGGGTTTAACTTTTGTTTTACTAAAGCTGATGTGTTAAGTTAGTTAATTTTAGTTCGACCCTGATCCTCTTAAACTATTAGTAATCAACACTACTGCAAAATGTCTCATGTTGTCTGCTGGGTGTTCTGTTATTTTCTTGCAACCAAGTATTTTTTTTTTCATAATATTTGCTAACATGGTCTTGCATATAGAAAGGTTCTGAGATATACTGTACAATTAATGGTATACCAGCATTGACACCCCCTCCTCCTCTGAAGAAAAATTTAACATGACAGGATCATTTCAATTGGCAACATGCTCAAAAGCTGTTTTGTCTCATGAGTGTTATACACTAGTCTCAAATTTATACAAAGCAAAATTGAAAAACATTTCCTTTTTTGGCATTTCTGCTTGTTTCCCAGATAAGGATGGGTATGGCATTTGCTATTAAGTGTTGACCGCTCCAGAAAGTGTCAGAGGTGTTACAAATTGTGTTGAAGTTATAGTCGTTTGTTACTATAATAATTGTTAATTATTATTATTATTAGAATTTGATCCTATGATGATAATGTATTTTATTGTCATATGAAAATCTGTTTTAAACATTGGTATTCATACAGGGTTTTTACACTCAAGCAGGTCCCAAACTTAATTGATTAGAATATTCAAATGTTCCTATATGGCAGCCGGGCGATTCAGGTTCTACTGTTAAGTCATTATTATTCTGTATTTTGCCCCAACAGTGAAATAATGTTGAATTAAAGAGTAAGTTCTCTTCAGTATATGAGGGGCTGATGCCTCTGATTCTGTTTTTTTTTTTTTTTTTTTTTTTTTAGTGTTTAGAGACGTGTGAATATATAAAAGACAATGAACATGTTGATCTCACAATGGAGAAATTCACTTCTGCATCTTAACCCATCCCCTCAGGGAGCAGTGGGCTGCCACTGTGCGACACCTGGGGAGCAATCTGGGTTTAAGGGTCTTGCTTAGGGAGCCAGAGTGCAGGCAGTTTGGATCAAACCGGGTACTTGCATCCTTCTCAGGGTGCAAGCGCGCTGCTCTAACCACTAGGCCAACACTCCCCACAAATATGACATTCAAAGCTTTACTCAGCAAACACTTTGTTAATCAAATTTTCCCTTCGTGCAACGCCGTGGTAAATAGGAGTGCTGACTGTGGTGCTGCGACCCCTTAGAAAAAGTGGCCGTTTTGCCCTCAGATCATTCACTTTGAATGAAAATGTACTTGAAAACACTTTGTAGTACAGTTATTATGATTTGCCAAAGACTAATAATAGAAGAGAGTTCACTCGTCTGTGTGTTGATTCGGCGGAAAGCCGCACTGAATGTGTACAAAGTTTGTACACATTCAGTGCGGCTTTCCGCCGAATCAACAACACACAGACGAGTGAACTCTCTTCTATTATTAGTCTTTGGCAAATCATGTCATAACACGCCGCTCTACAATTGGATATTGATGTTTCATTCATAATATATTAATTATGCTTGTTTGTTTTACAACTATACAAAACATCTTTACTTTGAAGCTAACCATACATAATGTATTCAAAAAACTGATCATGTCATCACTTTTCTTAGGCCCAAACTCAGCAGTAAGACTTTGTAATCCAGTTTGGACGCAATTCCATGTATAACTGACAGCAGGTCTGTTCTGCGAGAAATTATTTTTATTCTGAACTTTGAAAAGCTTTGTGGAGACGGACAGTAATGTTTATGTATTGACCTACAAATTGCTATCCCTACTTAAAGAAAAAAATCTTTAAAATGAATGTTCGGCATAACCTAATAGTTGTGCTGTCACCTTTTATTCACCCCACCCCTGCTATTTAATTACATATTTATATGGTAATTTATTATAAAATATTTTATTGTCAATGCAGGTTTTTCTGAAAAACAACCCGGTCCCAGAGATTGTTTTTTTTTAAATGTTCTAATTAGCATTTAATCATAATTAGTTTTTTTGTCACATGGACAGCTAGCAGCAACAGAAACAGTAGCTTGGAGAGCTCCACAGCACACATTCCACACAGTCCTCTATTATCTTTCATATTTATAACAAATACATCTTGGCTTGGGGGAACATCACAATATAGAAATGAAAGATCAACACTAGTTATCATTTTAGGATTTAAAGATCCTTGCACTTATTCATTGTAGAACAAAAATTACCATTTAAAAATAATATGAACAACCAATATCTTCACATTTCAAAAGTTCACTTATAAAACAGCAATGCACACAAGCGATAACATTTCATATATAGTTGTATTTTCAAATTTACTATACAGGGTCATGCCATGTAACAACATTGTATTTTACTGCCTTTACTTTAAGACCTCACTCAGTGAGTAAAGGAAGTGTTAACAGGAAGGCAGGGACCAGACAATGGTGGAGTTATGGACAAAGAGCAAGCCCCAGGGGGTAATCAGTAAGGTGACGTAGTTATCCATCAGGAAGCCCCAGGCGTGTTATGGCTGTCAAGCAGAACACATATGTTAAATTTTGGACTTTGACAGAAAATACTTAACTGCCTGTAGTTTAACATTTTAAGGTGTATATGAGAAACCATGTGTTAGTTACCTTCATTCAAAACTGAGTGGTGTCTGAGTAGTCTCTGTCCATTTACACATGGGCTGTGAGCATCAACATACAAAGGTTGGGTTAGTTTTTTTAGAATGCTTTGAGAAAAATGTTTCAAATGTATTTCAAGTAATTTGTAAAAAGTAAGAGCGTGGCAGATAAGCTCACATATAAGGCACTTTGCATTTTATGACTGAAGCATGAAACTATCTACAGCATGTCTGTACACCATAGAGTTTCCTACTAGATGTGGAACCACTTCTGAGTTGGCTTGAAACTTTTTAGAAGCTGTGCACATTTCAGGTAGTTAGTCATTTTTTCACTTTTTTGCAGGCATCTAGCCAATTAACCAAGGTGAATTCTTGCAGAACCCACTATCTATTATAACATTGCTTTAATATGTGAAATCACTTGTAAAAGACATGACAGTTCAGTTAATTTGGGAATACATCCATAGAACGGATCAACACACTAGCGCACGCACCATCCTCCCGACGCACCAACACTCGCATCCCCGCCAGCTGTCAACAGTTACACAGGAAAAAAATCCTGGTGAGAACCCTGCTAGTGGCTAGTTTGTTGCCCAAATAAGAGACTTTAAGGTCTAAAACAAGCACTTACATTTATAAGTGACTTAATAAAAAACAAGCCAGCCATCGCTTATAAAAAGCAAACTTGGTAACACTGTTAATAATGCCAATGGACTTACATTGGGCTGCCATAAAGCTGTTTGTTTTTCTGCGAGAACAAGAACAGAGCCGTGAGATTGCCACCGGGTCGGAGACATGGAAAGTTGCAAGGTTTTCTGGCCAGAAACACTAGGGTTTCTGCAATCGGGATAGCACAAGGACGTTACAGCAAGCCGTTCAGTAAATTATTCTAAAAAATTACTTTAATTATTTTAATATTTGAGATGGATTAGAAAATAAAACCCTATTTATGATATGTTAACAATTTTAAGACCTTTGAAAGACTGAGTTAAGACATTTTAATATCAATCAAGGCCTTAGTTTTATATTGAAGAATTCAATGCCTTTTAAGAGTTTCTATGGATCTGCAGGAACCCTGTGAGACCGGTGCACAGAGTGAACCCTCTTGTCATCCACCATCTTTGGAGGTGAGAGACGAGTAAAACAAATACACGCAAGCACATGGAAATATATTGAGGCCAGAAAAATTGTTACGTTAATTTTAATTTATTATGCAATAAATCGATTTATCGGTTGAAATAATTTGCCATGTATTATTATTATAATTTTTTTTCAAAACATGTTTGCTATAATCATGAAGCACCTAAAAGTGTGGAGCATCACTCACTCATTGCAAAATGAAGAGCACGCAGATATATGTCCCGGCCAAAGGATAAGGAGTCAGAGTTAGGATTCACTTCATGTTGCAGCAGAGCAAGATTCTCTGCAGACAGGGGGGATGGAATATCAGGAACAACAACCCCATGGTCAGTGTCTTCAGATACCTCCTCCTGATGTTCAATGTGCTGAAGCTGCACAAGCCAACAAACAAATTAATGATGACAAAGTTATTGAGGAAAAAACTGTCATGCCAATCAATTATTGCATGCCCACCTCTGCATAGTTTGGCTCAGGCACAGGTGCTTGAAGCATTCCAATGGTCCACATCTGTTGAGGTGTAAGGTTTGCCTCTGTGCTGATCGGATGGTTGTTCCAACTGTCTATGAAATGCTGTAGATCTGACCGCAGACGAGGTATGAACACATATTGCACACAGAAAAGGTGGATCTCATTAGACAGGTCAATGAAGCCGTCTTCCTCTAAGCTGTGTAGTGCATTGTAGTAGTTTGATGTTACACAACTCCAAACATCTCTCCATAAGCGTTCCACTCTGAAAAGAGGCCGACAGACCATGGTTAGAAAAAGAGACAATGGTGTTGTCTTTTCATAAGCAAATGGAATTCATGGTTTTTAAGTGATGCATCCACTTTTAAGCCGGTGTGCGTTTGTTAGTTCACACCAGGTCTGCCTTGATTAGTAAATTAATCGTCATTATGTTGACTATCAAAATAGTTGGCAATTATTTTAATAATTGACTACTTGTTTATTGTTTTTAAGCTTTGTTTTTCCTCACAAGATTGCCTCTGTACATTCTGCTGCCTTGTCTGCCTTTCTGTCTGGTCAGCTTTATTGAATTGTATGCTGACACTTATATAAAAACACACACATACGAGAATAATCATTTTTCCATCTGATTCAATGAGTAAGTGTCCACACTTTTGAGTGGTGCTGTGAATATGCTTCAATTTATATCTGATCTCATTAATCGACTACTCACCAGAATAACTGATGACTAGTCGATTATCAAAATAATCAGAAGTGGCAGCCGTAGTTCACACCAGGACATTTCAATCCGGAGTGGAGAGTATAGGAGACAGCAAACTACAATCAGTGCCAAGGTGTGTACACTGTCCAATATAAGCTGTGACTGCCAACTATAACCAGCATGCCATGGAGCATGTTGGAAAGAAGCCATCTTGACAGAGGATAAACCCACATCCGGTCAGACTGACATAATTGACCAACAAAACAACACAAACATAATGTCATTAATGCTTCTTGTCAGTCTTATTAATAAAATAATAGTTTACCTTCAGCTCTGTCAAAGCAGCTGCTATAAAAAAATGGTCTTTTGTTGCACAAAAGCAGAGTATTGCTTACTCCACCAGAATGAGTAGGATTATCAAAAAAGTAGATGTTGACAAGTTCATTTTGTTACCTCTGGTTATGGACACTTTTGCCTGCTATAAAGCTTCCACGGCCTGTTCCTCGGACAGTAAACATACACCTGGCAATGTCGACATTTTCCACCCCTTGATCAGCTCTCACTCTGCAAGAAAAGCAAATGCTTTTCCCCCCATATATGACATAACTTCATAATCAGCAGCACCTCATTTTTTTATTTCTCCTGCAATTAAATATATACCTTGAGGGCCATCCATTTCTCTGAACACTCTCCATGAAGAATCCAAAAGCAGTTGATGCTTTGTTGTTTGCTGCTGTGTCCAGATACAAAATCTATGAAAGAGGTAGATGCGTACCATGTATGTTGTGAACTTATTAATGAGGGTAAATACCTTGTGAATGAATAGAAAACATTTACCTTCCTGGAGAATCCATCTACACCTCCAAAGACGACAATGTTATACCTTT